AGCTCATACCCATCCTCAGACTTACACAGAAAGTGCTTTACGGGCTGAGCCATCACCCCAGACCCTACGCCCGTGAGGCAGGAGTACCATGAGTGTTTGGTTGGTTGGTTGGTTTTGGTTTTTTGAGACAGGGTTTCTCTCTGTAACTACCCTGGCTGTCTTGGAACTTGCTCTGTAGACCAAGATGGCCTTGAACTCACAGAGATCCACCTGCCTCTGCCTTCTGAGTACTAGGATTAAAGATGTGCACCGTCACTGCCCGCCTCATTTTTTTAAAAATGTGTATGTGTATTTTATGCATGTATGTCTGTGTGTTCCTGGTGTCTGCAGAGTCCAGAAGAGGGTTGTCAGAACTCCAGGAATTGGACTTACAGATGATTTTGCATTGTCATGTGGGTGCTAGGAATTGAACCTGAGTCCTCTGGGAGAACAGTCAGTTTTTGTTGTCGTCATCTTTGTTTTGTTTTGTTTTGTTTTTTTGTGGTTTTTGTTTGTTCGTTTGTTTCCACACGGAGTTTCTCTGTATAACAGCTCTGGCTGTCCTGGAACTCTGTAGACCAGGCTGGCCTTGAACTCAGAGATCCACCTGCCTCTGCCTCCCAGAGTGCTAGGATTAAAAGTGTGCACCAGGTTGGGGGATCGGGGGAGAAATGGGGAAGGGGAGGAGGAGGAGGGATGAGAGGGGGAATCTGTGGTTGGTATGTAAAATGGGTTTTAAAAATTTAAAAAAAAAAAAAAAAAGGTGCACCTTCACTGCCCAGCACACAGTCAGTGTTTTTAACTGTTGAGCCAACTCTCCAATCTCCTGTGAGTGTCACATTTCACAGAACAGGAAGTGGAGGCACAGAAGCGAAGCAATTTGTACCAGGCAGTGGGGGCGCACGCCTTTGATCCCAGCACTCAGGAGGCAGAGGCAAGTGGATCTCCAAGAGTTTGAGGCCAGCCTGGTCTACAGAGCGAGATCCAGGACAGGCACCAAAACTACGCAGAGAAACCCTGTCTCGAAAAAACGGAAGAAAGAAAAAAAACAAAAAACAAAAAACAGCTTGTTCAAGGTCACACTGCTGTTGAGTAGTTTATCGAAGACCATCTTGGCTTTGTGGTTCTTCCCTTCTTTCTTTTTATTTAGGCATGCATGTGGTGGACACACACACACACACACACACACACACACACACACACACACACACACAGAGAGTTGTGTGTGGGTACCTGCAGAGGCCAGAGGAGGGAGGTGGATGACCTGAAGCTGAAGTTATAGGTGGTTGTTAGCCACTCAATCTGGGTGAAACCGAACTAGTCTCTGCAGGAACAGCTCTTAAGTGCCAGTCTGTCTGTCTCCCCGGCCTCCCCTGTTTTAAACATTTATTGCAGGGGTGGGGGCATGCATCCACAGCTTAGGTGTGGGGGTCAAGAGGACAGCTTCGTGGCATTGGTTCTCTCCTTCCATCTTTATGGAGGTTCCAAGGTTGGAACTCGGGTTGTCGGGTGAGCGCCATCCCCGAGAGGGTCACCTCACCGATCCTAGCTTTGCGTTGTCTTCCTTCAATATGATGGCAGGGAGACAAAGCAAACCTGCTTTCAGGAACTGGCAGGAAAAGGTGTGCATTAAAGGGCTGCCCAGCTTTGCCTGAATGAGCTGTCTTCAAGGGCTGTAACTTAGTCCACTACAAATACCTGCACTCAAACACCATGTTAACTTTGCCATGTGGAGGTACACACACGTGCCTATACGCACATTCATCCCACACAGACATTGGAACTCCACATCCCTGTAGTCACTTGCGGGTCCTAAGGTCAGAAACATCCCATCTCCAGCTGCAGAGCTCAGGGTCTGCCCTCCCCTCCCCCTGATGTGAACCTTTCCACAAAGCCCTGCCCGCACACTCCCCCTTTGTTCTCACACCCTGTCTGAAAATTTCAGCCACCTAAGGCCATTTCTGAAGACCCAGCTGTGAGTCACACACTCATTCTGAATCACCTTCTCACAGCTGCATGGGATGCCACACCCATTAAGAGGAGGAGTATCGATCGAATAAAATAGAAGAAAAAGCAAAGGTCGCCTGGTAGAGCACTTTAAATGGGAACTGTGCTTAAGTGTGGGAGCCTTGTGACTGTCGGCAAGACTCTAGCTAAGCTGGAATGGACAAGGCTGAGCAACCCCCTCCCCCCCACTCCCAGGATGAGACCTGTTTAGCTGGGGAAGGATCACCTCTGCTCCCTGCCTCTACCTCTGAGCATTAGGTCCTGGGATAAGACTCCATGGATGTGGCTGGAGCCTCCTGCTCCAGGTGAGTGTGGCTTCCAGGGAGAACTTTCAAGTTAAGCTGGCCCTCTAGAGCCTGTCCTGGGCTGCTGAGTCAAGCCCATCTTCTATGCCACCCCCCTCCCCAAGCCAGGGCATTTACAAGGGACTCAGACCTAGCCCCTGGTGCAGGCAGTCCAGAAAGGACTTACCCAAGTGTGCTATGAGCTTGGAGTGGCGAATTTAGGAAGCCGGCCAGGGCCTGGCCTGTCTGCTCACTGTTCCTGAGGTGAGCTATGCTAGAGCAGCCCTTTCAGAGGGAGAGACAAAGGAGAGCACAGACCCATGGAGGGACCTTAACTGGCTTTATCTGGTGTGGTCAGGTGTGTGAAAGGAAGGACGCGGGGAGGCTAGCTATAGCGTGTGATTCACCTCACCACAAGCAGTTAGGAATTAGAGGTGTATTTTGCTGGGGCTCCATGTGGAGCATGTGCCAGGTGTGACCCGGGGCTTTGGAGGTCCGAGAACAGGTCCCGTGCAGGTGGCATCAGTAATAATCCTGCCCATCCCCAGCTCGGAGGCACTGGCGAGGGAGCTGCTTCTGGCCGCACTAGAGGATCTGAGCCAGGAGCAGCTGAAGCGCTTTCGCCACAAGCTGCGGGATGCACCCCTGGAGGGCCGGAGCATCCCGTGGGGGCGACTGGAGAACTCAGACCCCGTGGACCTCGTCGACAAGCTGACCCAGTTTTACGGGTCAGAGCCAGCGGTGGACGTGACCCGAAAGATCCTGAAGAAGGCGGATGCTCGAGATGTGGCCATGCGGCTCAAGGAACAGCAGCTGCAGCGTAAGCTGGGTGGGGTGGAATCGGTTGACTCGGCATGCTCTCCCCCCATACACAGGGGGGCAGTTCCAGAGGCTCCCAGGGAAATGCCTTGCCCCATCCCTCATGCTCAGTGAGCCTCACGTTGGGTTTTCCTTCCAGGGCTCGGCCCCAGCTCAGCAGTTCTCTCCGTGTCCGGTAAGTTCGGCGGGGCACACAAGTGAGAGGTCTTATTGGACTCCTCAGGGAGCCCATTTTCTGGTGTTGCTTGAGGGTCCTTGGATGTGAGATATCCGGAGGAGGCCATGACACAATAAAGGAAAGTGAGGCAGGGCATTGGTTCCAGGGTGGCGGCAACTCCATCCCTACCTTCCATGGTCTCACACCTTACAGAGTACAAGAAGAAATACCGCGAGCACGTGCTGCTACAGCACGCCAAGGTGAAGGAGAGGAACGCCCGCTCGGTGAAGATCAACAAGCGCTTCACCAAGCTGCTCATCGCGCCGGGGAGCGGCGCCGTGGAGGACGAGCTGCTGGGGCGGTCGGAGGAGCCTGAGCCTGAGCGTGCGAGGCGCTCTGACACTCACACCTTCAATCGGCTCTTCCGGGGAGATGACCAGGGCCTGCGGCCGCTGACCGTGGTGCTGCAGGGCCCGGCAGGCATTGGCAAGACCATGGCCGCCAAGAAAATCCTCTACGACTGGGCGTCAGGCAAGCTCTACCACGGCCAGGTGGACTTCGCCTTCTTCATGCCGTGCGGCGAGCTGCTGGAGAGGCCGGGTACGCGCAGCTTGGCAGACCTGATCCTGGACCAGTGTCCGGACCGCAAGGCGCCGGTGCGGCAGATGCTGGCGCATCCCCAGCGCCTGCTGTTTATCCTGGACGGTGCGGACGAGCTGCCTGCTGTAGTAGCCCCGGAGGCCGCGCCCTGCACAGACCCTTTTGAGGCTACGAGTGGCTTGAGAGTGCTGAGCGGACTGCTGAGCCAGGAGCTGCTGCCCTTGGCTCGCTTGCTGGTCACTACACGCAATGTCGCCTCCGGGAGGCTGCAGGGCAGACTGTGCTCGCCACAGTGCGCAGAAGTGCGCGGCTTCTCAGACAAAGACAAGAAGAAGTATTTCTTCAAGTTCTTCCAGGACGAGAGGAAGGCCGAGCGCGCTTACCGCTTCGTGAAAGAGAACGAGACGCTGTTCGCACTGTGCTTCGTGCCTTTCGTGTGCTGGATCGTGTGTACTGTGCTGCAGCAGCAGCTGGAGCTGGGCCGGGATCTGTCTCGTACTTCCAAGACCACGACATCGGTGTACCTGCTCTTCATCGCCAGCATGCTGAAATCTGCAGGCGCCAATGGACCCCGGGTACAGGGAGAACTGCGCACACTGTGCCGCCTGGCCCGGGAGGGCATCTTGAAGCATCAAGCACAGTTCTCAGAAAATGAGATCGAGCGGTTGAAGCTTCAGGGCTCCCAAGTTCAGGCACTGTTTCTCAGCAAGAAGGAATTGCTGGGCGTGCTAGAAAAGGAGGTCACCTACCAGTTCGTTGACCAGAGCTTCCAAGAGTTCTTGGCTGCCTTGTCCTACCTATTGGAGGCCGAGGGGGCTCCGGGGGCACCAGGGGGAGGTGTGCAGATGCTCCTGAACTCTGACTTAGAGTTGCGTGGTTATCTTGCACTCACCACTCGCTTCCTCTTTGGACTACTGAGTGCAGAGAGGATTCGTGACATTGAACGACATTTTGGCTGTGTAGTGCCGCCGCGTGTGAAACAGGACACCCTGCGGTGGGTACAAGGACAGGGCCACCCCAAGGTGGCACCAGTAGGGGCAGACAAGAAGGATGAGCTGGAGGACACTGAGGAAGCAGAGGAGGAAGAGGAGGATCTCGATTTTGGACTGGAGCTGTTGTACTGCCTGTATGAGACACAAGAGGACGCCTTCGTTCGACAGGCTCTCGGCAGCCTTCCAGAGATGGTCCTGGAGCGAATTCGGTTCACTCGCATGGACCTGGAGGTCCTGAGCTACTGTGTGCAGTGCTGCCCACCCGGGCAGGCTCTGAGACTGGTCAACTGTGGGCTGGTGGAGGCAAAGCAAAAGAAAAAAAAGAGTCTGGTGAAGCGGCTGACGGGGTGAGTCTAGAGGGCAAGGTTGTCCTCACCAGGGCAACTTGCACCCATGTGCCCATGCCCACTTGGGCTGGGAAGCATATCCACACCCGATAACCCACATGGCAGAGAGGACTTCCGGACCGCTTTACCCACCCCTTTGCAAGCAGCTGTCCCTCTTCTTCCCTAGAGTGACCTCACCATACCTACTTTTAGTCATGTAGATCAAGGCAACCTTCCCAGCACAGCCAACAGAGTTCGAGGAAGCGGCCTAGGCCCCTCCCTGTTGCACTTTTTCGTATGTTCTGGAATAATGCCATGTCCTCTGTGTGCTGAGCCTTGTACCTCCACCCCAACACTATTTGCTGTCTATCTTCAAAGTCTACCCTGGCTCCCCCACTTGGGTCCAACTGCTGGCCCCAAGGCACTGACCACACTATTCCATATCCTCCTCCCCTCCCAGCCTCCACCAGATCCTAGGTTCCTGCAGGGACACGGACATTTACTTTCCATGAACTGGTTCTATTCAATACTCATGCCAAGACTTGCCTTCTGTTGAGAACATACACCAGGGTGATGGCAGGACCTGGTCCTAGGGACCTGCAGGCCCACTCTTGGGTTTTGTTCAAGTTTGTTGGGGGAGGCAATGCAAGGGATACGGGATAAGTGGCAGGGACAGTTCTGGAACCCCAGATCCTCAGGTAGGAAACATTGAGTACTTTCTAGAAAGGCCTAGAAGGAGCACTATGGCCATCAACCTCTTTCTTTCTCTCCCTGCAGTTCTCAAAACACCACGAAACAAACCCCAGTCTCTCTGCTGCGTCCACTCTGTGAGGCCATGACTGCCCAACAATGTGGTCTGAGTATTCTGATGTGAGTCACCATGCCTCCGCATGGAGGGGATTCATGAGCTGGGTGCCCTGTACAGAGATGGAATTAGCTTTATGGGGGAGGTGGAGGACATAGGCTGAGAGACTAACCCGGATCCATCACTATTAAGTGCTGGCAGGAAAAGGCTGTCGCTAGGCTTTGTGGGAAACGGAGTTCAGCACAGCTCAGGGGAAGAGACAGAAAAAGCAACAGTGTTTTCCTTTTGAAGAAAGCTCCCAAGTGCTGCTGGAGTTGCTACACCGTCTCTTTGCAGGGAAGCATTCAGAGGGGGTGGCCCCTGGTGCAGCTGCCTCTTTGTACCCTTGAGCAAGTCGCCTGCCTATGCTTTGGTTTCCTCCCTGTAAGCTATAGCCAGCAATCCTACCTCAGAGGGTTGGTAAGATTTACTGAGGCTCCCTGGGTAGAGTTCTTCGAATATGGCAGGTGTCCTATCCCTCTTAGCTGTCACTGTTGAGCAGGAAGTTAGGAAAGTTATAGGAACGGATAGTGGCAGGCCACAGTGAAGCAGATAATCATACGTCAATGAGGATGAGGTGGGAAACTGGCTTTGTGGAGGGCAGGGTCCAGCAATCTGAAAATAAAACAAAAGAAGCAAAAAAGATAGTCGCATTTGGGCCTAGAAATTCTACCAGAAAACGAAGTACATGAAGGTGCTCACTTCATGATTTGTAATAAGAAAAAAAAAATCAGAACCAGCAGACTTGCACAGCCATTGGGGGTGGTGGCCATAATTAATAAGGGGTAATTATGAAAAACTGTACATTTCTTGACTAAACATCAGGCTATGAGGGAATGGGTAGTTGGTTCAGCTGGAGGTGAAAACGTGGTCACGGGCTTACAGACCAATCCACCCGCTTTTTTTTTTTTTTTTTTTTTACCGCAGCTTGTCACACTGCAAACTCCCTGATACAGTTTGCCGAGACCTCTCTGAGGCCCTGAAGGTAGCGCCTGCCCTAAAGGAGCTGGGCCTCCTCCAGAACCGGCTCACTGAGGCAGGCCTGCGTTTACTGTGTGAAGGGCTGGCTTGGCCCAAGTGCCAGGTGCAGACACTCAGGTGAGGCCTGGTTTTGGAAGGATGGAGGTAGGGGACACCACCTCCTGCAGCCTCTGAGCTCAGCCCTTCCCACAGGGTGCAACTGCCTAGCCTCCAAGAAGCAATCCAGTACCTGGTCATCGTGCTCCAGCAGAGCCGGGCCCTGACCACCCTGGATCTCAGTGGCTGTCAGCTGCTTGGCTACATGGTGTCCTGCCTGTGTTCAGCCCTGAAGTACCCTACATGCTGCCTAAAGACACTCAGGTGAAGGCCGGGGGAGGCATGGTGCTGAGGACATAGCCTATCAACCCTAGGTTAGAGTAAGTTCCTTCTGAGACCAAGCTCACACACAGATCTGGGTACCCAGCTTACAAAGACTAACCCTCTATGGTCCTACCCAAAACTCTGGGTCTCAAATATCCCTAGCCTACAGAGACAGTCTGGGCCCATGAGTCCTCATCTATCTTCCCTCAACGGCCCTCAACTTTTCTAGATTCTAGTGTTTCTGGTACTTGTGTCTTTGCTATAGCTAAGCAGACAGCTCCAACCACCCCACTCTCACCTGGGTTCTTTCCCCCAGCTGATGGACCTTTGCCCCTAATTGACCCCTGTCCCTTCTGTCTTACCCATGTGGCTGCAGTCTGACCTCTGTGGAGCTGAGTGACGTGTCACTGAGGGAGCTTCAAGCTGTGAAGACATCAAAGCCAGATCTGACCATCCTCCATTCAAAACTAGACACAAAGCCTCTCAAGGGATGAAGCAGGGTCTTCTGAGACCCTGGAGGCCAGAACAGGGGAAAGGATGCTGTAGCCAAAGCCCTTATGAAGATGGCCTCCCCATTCAAAAGCAGGAGGATGCCAGCTTCTCCGTCCAGGCAAGTCTCTCAAGCCAAGAAGCCACAGAAGGGCAAGCAAAGGACCCAGGTAGATAAAGGGCCTTGATAGCTCTTGGATGGGCCTGGCACATGCTCTGCCTTGAACACTCTGAGGTGACTCTTCCCCAACTCCACAACTACTGCTGCCTTCCTTTCTGGGCCCTCCAATCTGTCCCTTGCAGATAATCCCAGCAGTAATAAGAATATTCAATAATTGAGCATACTGTTTAATGGTGTTACTCATCTTTGATCTGGCCCACATCTGTTGTATGGGTGGATGCGGGCCCCCAGAGTACCACCCTCTGTAGGCAGAAGGTAGGTGGATCACCATTCCAACCTGGAATTTGGGGTGTTGGCTTTTGGAAGAATGCCATTCCTAAAACCTTGGGGCTTTAGCCCCGAGGGACCCACTTGCTGCCTGAGAGATACAGGCAAGGAGCCAGAGGAGTGACAGCTGACTTGGATGGTGGGAGCTGGGGCAACACAGTGGATGTCTCCACCACAATACATTTTCTTTTGGATTCCCTTTCACTGATCTCTGTAACAGTTGTCAAGGTATCAAAGTGGTGCTGACACGATCTTTCCTGCAACCACGTGTACAGGGCAAGGTTTAATCCATAGTCCACCACTGAAGAAGTGGGCTTGGCATGCTGGCCTGACTGCAGAGCCTGCAAGAGAGGTGTGGCCTTTCGGGCCAGGGCAAGCCATGGATGCCCCAGAACTGAGTCTTCTCTGCTCAGCACTCTGAGCTTGGGGCGCTCCGCAGTGAGCCCGTTTACTTCCCAGGGGAAATCCCTCCACAGTCTCTATCCCCTTAAATGAACAACACAGAACCTGCTGTGCCAGTTAGTTTTCTATTAGAGTAATACAACGCCATGGCTGGAAGCAACTTATAGAATGAAGAGTTGGCCCGGGCTTACGGTTCCAGAGGGATAAGGGCCCACCAAGGCTGAGAAGCATGGCCACATGCAGCACCTATGTCAACCGGAGCAGAAACTGAGGGTTCACACCTTGAACCACAAGCACAAAGCAAAGAATGAGCTGGAAACGGCACTTGTCTCTAAACTCTCAAAGCCCGCCTCCAGTGACACACTTTCTCCAAGAGGCCACACTCCCTAAGCCTCCCCAGACAGTGCCACCAACTGGAAATTAAGTGTGCAAATATCGTGGTAGTTTGAATGGGAATGCCCCCATAGGCTTGTAATTTGAATGTCTAGTTCCCGGTTGGCCGAACTGTTTGGGAAGGATTAGAAAGTGTGGTCTTGTGGGAGGAGGTGTGTCATTGGGGTGGGTGGGGGGTGAGATTTCAAAAGCCCATGCCAGGCCCAGCCTTGTTCTCTCCCTCTCTGCCTCCAACTTGCAGATCAGATGTGAGCTCTCAGTTACTTGTCCAGCACCATGCCTGTCTGTCTGCTGCCACACTCCCTGCCATGATGATCATGGACGAATCCCCAGAAACTGTAAGCAAGGGCCAATTAAACGTTTCCTTCTATAAGCTGCCTTGGTCATGGTATCTCTTCACTGCAATGGAACAGTAACTAAGACAAATACCCAAGCCTTCGGGGGACATTTATAATTAAAATCGCCACCTGGTCCCAGAAGGACTAGAGTCCTTGGTGGGCAAGCATGGCAGCGGCTGGCAGGCATAGTGGTGGGAACTAGAAGGTGAGAGCTCACGTGTTGAAAGGCAAGCCTGGATCGCAGAGAACAAACTGGAAGTGGAGACCCTTCTCCAATCTCTCTTCTTCCAATCTCTCAAAGCCTACCTCCACACTTCTTCAGCAAGGCTGCACCTCCTAACCTCCCCAAACATCGCCACCAACAGGAACCAAGTGTTCAAATGTCCAAGCCTACGGGGGGCATTTTTCATTCAAACCACAGTGTTCCACTCCCTGGCCTTCATAGGCTCCTGGTCACATCATAATTCGAAATAACTTTTAGTCCAATTTCCAAAATCCCCATAGTCCTTTAAAGTCTCACCATTGTTTAAAAGTCCAAAGTGTCTCCTGAGACTGAAGGCAGTCTCTTATAATATAGCCCCCTGGGGAAAAAACAAACAAACAAACCAAACTGCAAACTTCCAACATATAATGGCACAGAATATACCTTCCTATTGCAACAGGAAAGATATGGTAGAGTCAGGAAATACTGGACCAAAGCGAGACCACACTCAGCAGAGAAAACATCAAATCCTGCAGTTCAATGTTCACTGTGTAGGACTAAAGTTTTAAAGAGCTTGGTTTACTTTGCGCATCCAGTTTTGCTGCCTGCGACATATGTCTCTCTCTTGGGCAGATGTCTCACAACTTTGCAGTCTCCAACATCTTGGGGTCTCCCCTGCAGCCCAGGCTTCACTTTCACAGCTTTACACACAATCTCTCATTGCCTCCTTGCAGGGAATTCCTTGCCACATGTTGCCTGGCCTCAGTGGCTCTCTGAAACTGCCAAGTAAGAATTCATGCTCCCTAGGATTGGAGAGATGTTTCAGCAGTTAGGAACACTTGCTGCTCTTCCAGAGGATCCAGGTTCCGTTCCCAGCACCCATACGGCATCTCACAACTGTCTATAACTCCTTTTCCAGGGGATCCAGTGCTCTGCGAGTTCTAGGCATACACACACACACACACACACACACACACACACACACACACACACACACGCACAGACATACTTGCAGGCAAAACAAAATAAAATTACATGCATACAATTATTCATACAAAATAAAAATTTTTAAAAAAAATCATGACCCCTTTACTCTCGAATCCTTTGTGTCTCTAAAGCTAGTACCATGTGAACAACAACGCCAGGACTGGTGTGGACTGTGGGCCCTTGGATCATACTAGCAACAGTGTTTGTTTATTAATTAACAGAAAACTCCTTAGTTGGAAGCTTAGTTGTGTAAGGTCTTACCCTGAGGGCAGCCCTCCCTTGTTCCAGGGCAGAGTGGTACTCTCCATTAAGGAACAGCTTACTCTGTAGCTTTTGTTGTTTTTGTTTTTTTTTTTCTCTTTACTCTTTGCTCTTTGGGGGCCCACCACTTAGCTCCCAAATAATCACACAGAGACTTATTCTTTCTTATGAATGCCTGGCCTTAGCTTGACTTGTTTCTAGCCAAATTTTTTTTTTTAATTATCCCATCTACCTTTTGCCTCTGGGATTTTCTCCTTCTCTGTTCTGTATACCTGTCTTTACCACTTACTCCGCGGCTTGCTGTATAGATAGGTGGCTGGACCCTGGTGTTCTTTCTCTATCTCCTTTTCTCACTCATTCTTCTTCTTCTCCTCCTCCTCTCTTCTTCTTTTTATTCTCTCTGCTTGCCATTCCTGCCTATTTCTCTCTCCTGCCTACCTATTGACCAGCTCTTTATTAGACCGATTAGGTGTTTTAGACAGGCAGAGTAACACAGCTTTACAGAGTTAAACAAATGCAACATAAAAAAATGCAACACATCTTTGCATCATTAAACAAATATTCCACAGCACAAAAGAATGTAACATATCTTTAACTAATATCCCACAACATTACTCCATTTTCCTTTTAGTTAAATCTTCATTTATTTCTGTGTTGTTCCCTATAGTGTTTGCTTTAATCATGCCCCAAGCTAAAGATTAAGCGAACAGTCAACTTGTTTGTTTGGTTTTTTAATTCATTCTTCTTCTATGAT